AAGACCCTCTTTATTTTTTTTTGTGGCCTGAGCTGAAAACTTTAGAATTGTGGATATCGCTTATGCTCGGAAGGCGAAGGTTCGCGGCGGATTAAAGAGAATGGCGGAGCAAATGCACCAAGTAACCAGGTTACCTTTAATTTCATTATACCACTCTCATGATTCTATTTTATTGTAAAATAGAAAAAAATCGTTACAACACATTTTTTTGCGTCGTTTTTGGATCGTTTTTGGCTATTTTTTTGTCTGTGTCAACATTTGGCATACTGTAATAAAATCAAATGTTCAAAATAAGTAATAATAATAATAATAATGATACTACTACTAATAATAATAATGATAATCATAATTTTAAATGATTTTGTAACATTTGCTTTTCTTAAACTATGCCAAATATTGACTCTGAAAGAAAATATATGGCAAAAACAAATCAACTTAATGTACATCACTCAACGAGGTTATAGTATCACTTTAATCATATAATGGATTAGGCCTTCCAGGACTTATGGATGTTCAATGTGCACTGTGGATGGCAATTCCTGACACATTTAAATGCATTCCTTTTTTGGTAAATGTTCGAACAATTTTGTTCGTGAGATTTTATGTCATTTTTTTTCTCGATATTCGAGTAATGTTCAGGATCAATACCTAGTAATGTTTAGGATCAATACTTAGTAATGTTTGGAACCATAATTAAGTAATGTTTATGATCAATACCTAGTAATGATTAGAATAAATATATAAATAATGTTTAGGACCAATACTTAGTAATGTTTAGAACTCATATTAAAGTAATGTTTAAGATCAATACCTAGTAATGTTTAGAATCAATACCTAGTAATGTTTAAGATCAATACCTAGTAATGTTTAAGATCAATGCCTTGTAATTTTTAAGATAAATACCCAGTAATGGTTAAGATCAATGCCTAGTAATGTTTAGGATCAATACCTAGTAATGTTCAGGATCAATATCTAGTAATGTTTAATGTTTAAGATCAATGCCTAGTAATGTTTAAGATCAATGCCTAGTAATGTTTAAGATCAATACCTGGCAATTTTTAAGATCAAAGCCTAGTAATGTTTAAGATCAATATCTTGTAATGTTTAAGATCAATGCCTTGTAATGTTTAAGATCAATACGTTAAAATGTTTAAGATCAATGCCTAGTAATGTTTAAGATCAATGCCTAGTAATGTTTAAGATCAATACCTGTTGATGTTTAAGATCAATATCTTGTAATGTTTAAGATCAATGCCTAGTAATGTATAGGATCAATACCTAGTAATGTTCAGAATCAATACCTAGTAATGTTTAAGATCAATACTTGGTAATGTTTAAGATCAATACCTTGTAATGCTTAAGATCAATGCCTTGTAATGTTTAAGATCAGTGCCTAGTAATGTTTAAGATCAATGCCTAGGAATGTTTAAGATCAATACCTTGTAATGTTTAAGATCAATGCCTAGTAATGTTTAAGATCAATACCCAGTAATGTTTAAGATCAATACCTTGTTATGTTCAAGATCAATGCCTAATAATGTTAAGGATCAATACCTAGTAATGTTTAAGATCAATACCTAGCAATGTTTAAGATCACTACCTTATAATGTTTAGGATCAATACCTAGAAATGTTTAAGATCAATGCCTAGTAATGCTTAAGATCAATACCTTTTATAATGTTTAAAATGAATGCCTAGTAATTTTTAAGATCAATAACTAGTAATGTTTAAGATCAATACCAAGTAATGTTTAAGATCAATACCTAGTAATGTTTACGTTATATACGAAGTGCATCTGAGTATATAGAAAACTGGCTTGTTTTATGTTTCATAACAAACATGCAATATCATTATATGTGTGCATTGCATTTAATTTTAGTATAGCAATAATTCTTCCTCTCCCCCTCCCTTCATCCCCTCCCCTCCATAGTAAACTATATGCTCATTTGGTTGGTTGATTAGTTGCTTGTTTAGTAAACTATATGATCATTTGGTTGGTTGATTAGTTGCTTGTTTAGTAAATTATATGATCATTTGGTTGGTTGATTAGTTGCTTGTTTGGTAAACTATATTATCATTTGGTTGGTTAATTATTTGCTTGTTTGGTAAACTATATTATTATTTGGTTGGTTGATTAGTTGCTTGTTTGGTTAACTATATTAACATTTGGTTGGTTGATTAGTTGCTTGTTTGGTAAACTATATTATCATTTGGTCGGTTTATTAGTTGCTTGTTTGGTAAAGTATATGATCATTTGGTGGGTTGATTATTTGCATGTTTGGTAAACTATATTAACATTTGGTTGGTTGATTAGTTGCTTGTTTGGTAAACTATATTATCATTTGGTTGGTAGATTAGTTGCTTGTTTGGTAAACTATATGATCATTTGGTTGGTTGATTAGTTGATTGTTTGGTAAACTGTATTATCATTTGGTTGGTTGATTAGTTGCTTGTTTGGTAAAATATATGATCATTTGGTCGGTTGATTATTTGCATGTTTGGTAAACTATATTATCATTTGGTCGGTTTATTAGTTGCTTGTTTGGTAAACTATATGATCATTTGGTGGGTTGATTATTTGAATGTTTGGTAAACTATATTAACATTCGGTTGGTTGATTAGTTGCTTGTTTGGTAAACTATATTATCATTTGGTTGGTAGATTAGTTGCTTTTTTGGTAAACTATATGATCATTTGGTTGGTTGATTTGTTGCTTATTTGGTAAACTGTATTATCATTTGGTTGGTTGATTAGTTGCTTGTTTGGTAAAGTATATGATCATTTGGTGGGTTGATTTTTTGCATGTTTGGTAAACTATATTAACATTTGGTTGGTTGATTAGTTGCTTGTTTTGTAAACTATATGATCATTTGGTTGGTTGATTAGTTGCTTGTTTGGTAAACTGTATTATAATTTGGTTGCTTGATTAGTTGCTTGTTTGATAAACTATATTATCCTTTGGTTGGTTGATTAGTTGCTTGTTTGGAAAACTATATGATCATTTGGTCGGTTGATTATTTGCATGTTTGGTAAATTATATGATCATTTGGTTGGTTGATTATTTGCATGTTTGGTAAACTATATTAACATTTGGTTGGTTGATTATTTGCATGTTTGGTAAAATATATTAACATTTGGTTGGTTGATTAGTTGCTTGTTTGGTTTTTTAGGAGGTTAGGACGATTGAATTTTTTTATGGTTAGATTTGTTGTTAGTTGGGTGTTTGGTTGATTTATTGTCTGGCTGATGGGTTGGTTGGTTAGTTTGTTGGTTGTTTGGTTAACTGATAGGTTGGTTGTTTGGTCGGTTGGTTGGTTAGATAATTGGATTTTGTTAATTGGTTGATTAATGAATTGGTTGCTATAATTATTGGTTGTTGGATGGGGAACTTTGTTTATTGAAATGTAGGTTTGTTGATTTCTTGTTTAATTATACAAATTTCATGTATTTTCCCATGTAAATTAACGCTCCCTGTATTAAAACCAACATCTATTTGCCTGAAGGAGAGCTCAATTAAGCGCACAGAACTCTTTATCTTTCGGTTCAAGTTCAAGTCTCAACACAACCACCATCAACACCACCCCACTCACCCTCAACAAGGGGCAGAATCCCCCCTTGTCCCCCACCAAGGAGCCCCTGACACAGAGCCCCTCAAGGGGCGAACTTATTAGAATTGCTGTTTTGAACCATGCTCAAACACGGAGTGATGAAACTACTGTTGGAGATGAGATATTTTAATCCTAACATCTTGAAACCCAAATAAAAGATCCTGTAAAAAAAGTAACCATGAAACATTATGATTAAAACAATTTATATTTATATATTTGTAAAATTTACATATATTATAACATAAACTAAAAGTGAAAATAAGTTAAAAAAAGAAAAGTGAAAAAGGGTGAGATGTAACTAAACAGCGGAAATAAGTGAAAAGTATGATCGTACATTAGTCAGTACAGTACATGCACTGTAAACGTTACAATGTGCCTCCAGATTAAAAAAGTAAAAGTTTACACGCAAAAGATATCATTTGCGATGTCTGATAATTTTACATAGAAATATATTATATATTCATATATATATTTAGTACCCGGCGTTGCCCGTGAAATATGAAAAATCTTAATTAAATGCCACTAATCCATATTTTACCCAAAATTTAACATTTTTGATTTTGTTACAACTCCCCAGTGTGACGATTTGTCCAGCTATATGTTCACAGTACACACATCACACAATAAACGTGTATTTTACGTTATATACAATACAGGTTTACCCACAAAAGATGAGACTGTAAAAACGACAGGAAACTCTTAAAATGTGACGATCACAATTAAGGTTAAATTATGTTTTTTGCCTTAGCTATAGTAATCTAATTCCTTATTTAAGGATTTGTCCCAGAAACAAACAAGTTTACATTTGACGGAAACAGTGAATATAAGGAAACAGTTTAAATTCTGTACAATTGTATCTGAAGTCTCATTCGTAGTGGGTAACCCTGTATATATATATATATATAACATAACATTCCTAATAATTTGATAACTTTACCTAAGAATGAAGTTATACAAATGCTTAACTTTACAGTAACCACAACATGAAAACAATGACTAATCATCAAACAAAATTAAAAAATAATTATTAATTCAAAATTTTATCGAAAATGTTGCAGTGTATTAGTTTTATCTGTAATACACGAGGAATACAAGATAATAAAAATAATGTTTATATTCCTCGACACAATTCACAAAGAAACAAGATTAAAACAATGAATTTAGCAAATGGCAAAATTGCGTAAATCTTCGTTTGTTTATTAACAAAGGATTATGTTAACCTTTACAATATGCCTCAACCCCCCTCTTATATTTAATATTAATATAAATGAAAAAATTCACTAAATTATTTAATATAATATTGTATATGTTTGTTAAGTAACCTTAAAAAAATAATTCATTTGATTATTTATTTCCGATTGATTTTTCTCACGGCTGTGAATATATCAATAAACAATTTAATAGATTTAATTATCCTTTGAAATAAGCGACAAACATATGTATCAGAATAAAAAAAAATGAATAAACGTCAGAACGACTGTGCTGATCGGGTCCTAATTTTGTGCGGGACCTAATATCATATAACTCCAGTGAAGGTTTATGATTCCTCAAAATAACAAAAAATTGACTTAAACTATTTTGTTTTTCGTAAAATTTTGAAAATCCACGAAAAAATGTAAATTCGCAAAATATTTTATCTTTGTTTTGTCGCAATGAAATGCTGAATGATTGGGCAACTATTAAAAGTTGAACTAGAAGATGGGTGCGAAGCGCTAGGACAGCCTAGTGTATATAAAAGCAAGGTAATGTTTATCATAAAAATACAGGGGATAGGGATTGTGAAATTTTATTTAACCGTTTTTGTACTGCTCAAAAACTGGTTTTTGGACTGCTCGAGAACTGGTTTAAGGTAAATAAAGAGTTAGTATAAACAAGCCTGAGCTGAAAACTTTAGAATTGTGGATATCGCTTAATCTCCTCTTTTTGTTAATCTTGAGATTTTTTAATCTTTAATTTGTCTCTAGGAAAATCTATCTATCTTAAATTCAACCAATCAGAGTGGTGTATAAGAAAGCCGGGAAATTTGAAATTTTGCGCGCCATTTAATGAGAGAACTCCCTTCGGTCGGTGTGGATATTATATTTTAAGTAGAGGAAAAATGAAGAGATCTATTTAGATCTTAATCTAAATTTGATCTTAATAACCACCCAGTGCTCTGTGCTCTGCAGTCTGACCAGTGCATGGTATCATTTTCCTTTTTATGAAGATTTTTCTGATATTGCCTGGACAAAATACAGAAATATGTTTTTGAAATGAATCAAAAATTTATTTATTTAGCTTTTCTTTTCAAGAAGACTTTTTTCGTCGTTCATCATCTACATATAAATTTGGCTTGTCTGTCTGTTTGTTTGTTTGTTTGTCTGTCTGTCTGTTTGTATCCAATAAACGTCAAAACGGCTGAACCGATCGGGCCCAAATTTTTTGTGGGACATCTAGGGAGCCCAGGGAAGGTTTATGAATAAAAAATACTTTTTCGTTTTTCATACGATGCCAGAAAAATTAAAAAGTTTACTTGTGAAAATTCTCTATATTTATTAATTGTTAATTTATGTTGGATTTTACGAAATTTAACAAAATTATTTTCTTATCTTTAAACAATTATGGTTTAAGTTATGAAATAGAGTTCAACTCTGAAGGGACAAGGGAAACAATTAAATTTAAAATTAAGTTTATTGTTCACTTAAATCTTTAATGATCCTTGGAAAAGTTGAATCCAGAAAAATCCAGATAAATAGATTCGCTTCGTTACGCTTTCCACGTTGCGTGAACACTAAAAAACATTCATAAAATATTTGGTATTTCAAAAAATTAACAATTATTGTTAAAAAATTATATAAAATATATACAGAGTTATCCACAAAGGGTGAGAATTTTCTCTCACATTCATCAGTCATTGTCGAACTAGAGACATTTACAAGGTTCCGTGATAATTATATTCTAATTATAAATCCCGACCTAACCTAACCTGCAAAGTGGAGAAACATTTCACATAATAGATAAAGGGAGGGAGGAGAGGGGGTTCTGGATTCTTAAATTAATTCTGAGGAGTCCATTCGTTGATCTTATTATAGAGAATATGAATCCCACTAGGTGCAGGTATTACTTTAAAAAAGTAAGTAAATCTTTGTCTCAAGCCATGATTTTCTAATTCCTTTAGTCTTTGCAACCCAGCATTGTTGACCTTAGATATTTAAAACTATGAAATCAGAGACCGAATTTAAAGAATTTGAGCGGTGGCTTAAATTTAAGCCTCCGCTCAAATATTGTTGGTTTTGCTTAAAACTGTATTTAATTTTTCAAGATTTAGGCTGGCGCTGAATTGAAACGGGTTTTCGGCGGATTTTAGACGTGGCTCAAATTCATTAAATTCGGACACTGTTAGATTGAATAATCTAAGTTTGAAATATCAAAGGTTTACATCATCAGGTAGAACAGATATAGGATTAGGATTAGGAAATGTGAGGTTGTGACATACGCTCAATTTTTTTCTTCTTCATTTCTGGGGTTGGGTTTAGAGAAATTTTTTCCATGATACTGAGCAATTAAAGATAGTTCTTCTAGGGAGTGTTCAGCATATGATGATCAAAAATTTTGAAAAAACTTTTATAATTGTACATTTAAATTCTCGAAAAGTATTTGCAGTGTCAAATTTGATCATAAAAAAAACATACTATAAAAATAATGTATCTACTTAAAGTTCGAATTTTAGAAATTTACATCTGCCGGCAATCTGTCTGCTACAGAGAGAAAGATTTCTAAGCAGTTAGAGACTGCTTGGTCGAATCAGAGCCAATCCTGACTTGGGTTCTATCTAATCCCAACTCTGGGTTTCACTCAGGTTTAAGCTTTTAAAATCTTATATCTAATTATAAGGGAAGAATGTTACGAAACAAATCGGATTTTTTACGTATCATTGTAAAACCTTTTTATGAAAAGATAGCCATTAAAACATCATACAATAGTTTTAACTCTGCGCTTCTTACACATTTTTTATCAATCTAATTTGATTTCAAACTGCAACTCGCAGAGTTGTTTTACAATCCAATGCGACTCACAGAGTCAATGACTAAAACCACTTTGAAAAAAAATCCAGACCATGTGCTTCAGCCCTGTGTTTCTGCAACTTTTGGCCTATGTGACTTTTTTATTTTCAAGAATTTTTGAAATTTTTTACAATAAAATCTAATTTTTTTCAAGGTGGTATTTTCTGCGACTAGCTGTGAGTCGCAGTTTAAAATAGAATTCGATTAAAACAAATTTGAAAAATTCTTGAAATAAAAAAGTCACAGAAACACAGGGCTGAAACACATGGTTTAGATTTTTTTTCAAGGTGGTTTTAGTTTGCGACTCTGCGAGTCACAGAGTCACAGTTTGAAATAAAATTGTATTGAAAAAAGAAAAATTCTTGAAAATAAAAAGTCACAAAGTCCAAAAGTCCCAAAAACACAGGGCTGAAACATGATACATATCACACTTTTTTGGGGGGGGACAGTTTACACCAATACATTATTTGTTGTATCTAAAAGTGTACTACACAAGCTATTGTGTACTGCATACTAATCTAATCCATCATCATCATAATCAGCAAGCTGAACTGTATTTCTACACATGTAAACAATGCAGTACACTGACTGAGTAAAGTATAAAAACACATTTTAATCTTGGATTAACTACAGTTACTTCATAACATTCATCATGTTTAACCAAATTGTGTGTGTTCTATCCTTTTCATTTCTGTACCAGGTATAATCTTTAATTTGTGCAGTTGTTAAAGTGATTGTAAGCTTAATATCAAGTGAGCTTCCATTTAAAGAGATATCCCTGATTCAAAACTGAACACTTTAAACCTTTATCTGTACAAGGAAGACGGGCTTTCTTTATTAAGTCACAGAAATGCAATTGTTGCAATTTTTTATGCACAAACTTTAAAAGATATACGCATGAGATATCAATTACAGGGCTTTAATTATTATTTTGTTTTTAAGCTTCAATTGGATGGAAAAAGAAGATTTTTTTTCAATGCTCAGATGAAACTAGATCTATGGGGTTTCATATCAAACTTCAATTCTGTTGTCTATTCAGGATGAAACTATGGGACATCTAAATGCTCATATCCACATTGTTAATCATTCCGTTTTTTTCTTCAGTTTATCAGTTTAATAGTACACATTTTGATATCGTTTCTTGTGTAAACTGAATGTTTTAATTAAATTGTTCGTAAAGCAAAATCTATCGTTTTAAATCGTACGTTAGTAAAAGGATAGTTAAGTCAGCCAGAGTAAGGCTGAATTTCAAAGAATATGTGCACAAACAATTTTTAAATAGTTTATGAACTAACATTTGAGAAATCATTCTTTAGAAGTGTTCTATTCAATTTCTCTGTATTCAGCAATTTGAGTTGACATTTTTAATAAAATTGAAAAATCGTTTTTTTATTATTTTTTAAATTTAATATTTTAGGTGAACTGCAATGGATATGATACTGGATATTATGGTCTAGATAACTACCATGGTTACGGATATGGTGGATATGGAGGTATTGACCATGGATATGGAGGTATTGACCATGGATATGGAGGTATTGACCATGGATTTGGTGGATATGGCTATGATTGTGATGAATATGGATATCCTCTACATGGCCATGGTTATGGTGGATATGGATCTCCTAGGTGAGCCTTATCTTATTACAACTTGTTAAATGCTAATTTAACCATTTTTATTTTAGCAACCATAAGACAAGCTATAAAAAGAAAAGATCTACCTATTCTACCCCGGATTATGGCAACTCTCCCTCTACCTATGGAAACTCATATGGAAGTTCTTTTGAAAACTCATATGGAAGCAAGCCATCTACCTATGGAAGCTCTTATGGAAACTCATATGGAAGCAAGCCATCTACCTACGGAAGCTCTTATGGAAACTCATATGGAAGCAAGCCATCTGCCTATGGAAGCTCTTACGGAAACTCGTATGGAAGCAAGCCATCTACCTATTGAAGTTCTTATGGAAACTCCTATGGAAACTCCTATGAAAGCAAGCCATCTACCTATGGAAGTTCTTATGGAATGGAAACTCCTATGGAAGCAATCCATCCACCTATGGAAGCTCTTATGAAAACTCTTATGGAAGCAAGCCGTCAACTTATGGAAGCTCCTACAGATCTTCTTATGGAAACGAACCCTCTTATGGTTCCTATTCTACCCAGCATGGTTATAACTCTCCCGGAAATTCCTATGGTTATAACACTGCTCCCTATGGGTACAGCTCATATTGATAATTATTTATAAGATATGTAAGATTTTAAATTAAAACTGAAAAAATAAATATTAACCTTGGTCATTGGTTTATTCTTAATCATAGTTGCAGCATCCGTACTTCAGATTCATCAAAACTGGTTAAAACAGTTTGTAGTTAATGGTTTTAGTAGGAAAAATGATTAAATACTGAAGTGGGCCAAACTCGCAGTTAGATGACGACATTTTATGTCCCAAGTATTAAAAAGTAATATATATAAGTATATGTAAATTGGTCTGTACGGAGTGCACAGTACAACAGAAACTGGACTCCCTTTGTTCACAAACACAGACTTAGAATTTGTATTTAAATCAAATATAGATTAACCTAAATTAAGATTTTAGAAGAGAATTTTATCCATTTAACTGCTCAATAAATAATTTTAGACAGCATAAAAATGCCAGCATGCATATTCTGTAAAACAAGGAATGCACAATTTGTGATACCGAAAAAAAAAAGATTTTAGAAATATATCTCTGGGTCTTCACTTTTGTATTTTGACAGATTTAAGTGATTGAAAACTAAAAGACATTGTTTTGAAGATATTAAGAGAGGTGTATTAATTTTTTTTCCAGGAAGGGCTTACATTTCTTTTTTTCTTGGGGGGGAGGGGCAGACCAAACCCCCCAAAAAGCATTTATTTCACCGATCCAGGAGGGGGATGAGCTCCCATAGCCCCCCCTGAATTCGCCTCTGGAAAAATGGAGTGAGATTCAAAAGAATTAAACTAAGCAGTTTTAAAGATAAATTCCTATAGAATTAGAAGTGCCAGGCAAAATCAATGAATTGATTAAGTGACTATATAGTATTTACATATAAATAACATACAAACATACAATTTTTTTGATTTTTAATTCTGCAAATTTCGAAGTTCTAACTGAAGACGACATTTACATGGGTCTTAAATCTATTTTTTCTGACTTTACTTTCCAAACGAAATTTGTTCACGCAATTATTTCCAAACCAAATAAAACCTTATGGCCCAATAATCTGTCGTCGTTGCCTTAGTCTGTTCCACTTCAGTAGTATTTATTCACTTTGAATAGTCGAGGGACAGATAGAAAGCAGCTGATGTAAACTGTAAACAACTAAAAGGGTTGATCAGTTACTGAGAATGTGCGGTCTCAAAAAGATTTTAAGCAAATAATATATACGTAACTTGCAATAAGGTGTACTGCAATTTCAGGGAGGATTGTAAACACATTCGCAATGCTGACTAGGCTAAGCTTTGACCTACAAAAGTTGTGAATCCGACCTACAAAAGTTGTGCATCCGACCTACTAATGTTGTGCATCCGACCTACTAAGGTTGATAATCTGACCTACAAATGCAGTGCATCTGAAATACAACAGGTCTGTATCCAAGCTACAGTTGGATACAGTGTAGTGTGGAACCGATTTACAGTAGGTCGGATACACCAACTTTTTTTTCAATTGAGTGTGTATCAGACATACAGTTCGTCGGACCAACAGCAGCTAGATGCTGCTGAAAATCCATGTGCAGGTAGGTCCTAAGTATCGTAGTACGGATGTAACGTTGGGCGGATGTAATAAAATCAAATTTCTCCCACTGATTATATGCTAGCTAGGGCTGGGCAAAGTATCGTTAATGCAATGGATATTTTTAAATTTATGGAAGAGTCGTTAATAAATGAAAAACCGTAAATTTTTAAATCGACAATTAACGGAAATAGCAGTTTAAAAAAATAAGGTTGAAAGGAAACAAAGTTTTTTAAAATAATAACAAATTCGTTATTTTTTTGTGCTTAAATTTGCATGAAACTTGCAGTAAATGAAAAATAATATTTTCTATATTTTGAAGATTTTTAACGCCATCTGTTATTCTTTGTTGAATTACAGAATTTTATGCATCTTAAGTAATTTTTACATGTTTTGATGTTTTGATGTTTTAACCTGTCTTAAAACTTTTCCAGTTTTTTACATAAAAGATTCGTTAACGGCTGGGTAAAATCAAATAGATTGTTAAATACAATAGATGGCAACGTAGTATTTGTACACTCTCAGTACAGCTTTATTCTTACATCACAAGTGTCAACTCAGTTTTTGTGTCCGACAAAATTGTTAATACTAGTGATAATTTTAGAATAAAGAGCTTATCTTACAGTGAAAAAAGGTGCAATTTTATGTATTTTCTTGTTTGCACTTTTTTATTTAATCTTGAAAAATATGTCAAATAATGTGAGAAAATTTCGTTATCTTTGTTATATTTGACACTTGTGACGTCGTGTATAATTGATCCATTTCTCTGTTGCCACCTATTGTACTTGATAATCTATTTGGGTAAAATTGGCATTGTTAACAATTTCTAAAATGTTTAGATCGTTAATAAACATTAGCATTAAAAATAACAAAACAAACGTTCCATTTTAAGCTCTGTAAAAATAATTAATGAAAGCTTAAAAACAGCAATATATTTTTCTTGTGAACGAGGAAAAATGGATCAGAAATAAATTAAGCTATAAATAGAAAAGAAGAGAGCTGAACGCTTGGTATTTAGAAAGCTCATAAGAAAATTTTAATTTTCAAATCAACTTGCTTTAGATAAGATAAGATAAAGGGGGGTGCAACAACAAATTTATGATTTGTTTTACACAATCTTCTTCCAAAATAATCATTATATTGGCATTTGCTATTTTAAATATAGGTATCCCAAATCCATACAAATATTGCAATGTGCAGTGCTGAACAAAGGCTAAATTTTTATTCACATTTTTTTGCTTTGAATATGTATTGAACATTTCCTTAACCACTCTGGCCCTGGTCTGTCTTAGCCGCAGCGCCCAAACCCCCCTTCCTAGCCCGTCCTAGTCACAGTGCCTGGCCCCTTTTTCATCTTGAAGTAATCTCTATGCATGGCATGTCTATTTGTAGGTCTATGTCTATTAATCTTTTTGTCTAGGTCTATGTCTATCAATATCTATGTCTATGTTAATGTCTATTAATTTCTATGTCTAGGTCTATGTCGAATGATCTAGAGACCCCAGATTCTCCTCGAGGTGTTATGAGATCTTATTCTACTCATGGAGCCAGGAATATTAGATATTAATATTAATAGTTGATTAGTTGCTTGTTTGGTAAACTATATTATCATTTGGTTGGTTGATTAGTTGCTTGTTTGGTAAACTATATTGTCTTTTGGTTGGTTGATTGGTTGCTTGTTTGGTAAACTATATTATCATTTGGTTGGTTGATTAGTTGCTTGTTTGTGTAAACTGTATTGTTATTTAGTTGGTTAATTAGTTGCTTGTTTGTGTAAACTATATGAGAATTTGGTTGGTTGATTAATTGCTTGTTTGGTAAACTATATTAACATTTGGTTGGTTGATTAGTTGCTTGTTTGGTAAACTATATCATCATTTGGTTGGTTGATTAGTTGCTTGTTTGTGTAAACTGTATTGTGATTTGGTTGGTTAATTAGTTGCTTGTTTGGTAAACTGCATGAACATTTTGTTGGTTGATTAGTTACTTGTTTGGTAAACTGCATGAACATTTGGTTGGTTGATTAGTTGCTTGTTTGTGTAAACTGTGTAGCCATTTTGTGGGTTGTTATGGTTTTTTTAGGAGGTTATGACGATTGAAATTGGTTGTTTGGTTGATTTTTTGTCTGGCTGATGGGTTGGTTTTTTAGTTTGTTGGTTGTTTGGTTATTTGAAAGGTTTGTTGTTTGGTCGGGGTGGTTGATTAGATGATTGGTTTGTTATGATTGGTTGATAAATGTTTTGGTTGCTAAAGTTATTGGTTGTTGGATGGTTAATTTTGTTTATTGAATTGAAATGTAAGTTGGTTGATTTCTTAATTTAATTATACGAATTCCATGTATTTTCCCATGTTTATCAATATGCGCCCTGTATAAAAACCAATATCTGTTTGTCTGAAGGAGAGCTCAATTAAGCGCACAGAACTCATTATATTTCGGTTCAAGTTCAAGTCTCAACACAACCACCATCAACACCACCCCACTCAATCATCATCTTTTTAAAATCTGATTCCTAAACCATACTTATTTATTTTAGAGATCAAATATAATAATTAAGGCCTGTTAAACAGAACTTAGATTTTTGCGAAACATCTCAGCTTCTAACTTAACAATTCAACAGAAAAATAATTATTTAAAATCTGTAAAATGTATTATTCAGTTTTAATTTAAAATCTTACATATCTTATACATAATTATCAATATGAGCTATACCCATAGGGAGCAGTGTTAAAACCATAGGAATTTCCAGAATAGGAACCATAAGAGGGTTCATTTCCATAAGAAGATCCGTAGGAACTTCCATAAGTTGACGGCTTGCTTCCATAAGAGTTTCCATAAGAGGTTCCATAGGTGGATGGCTTGCTTCCATAAGGGTTTCCATAAGAGGTTCCATAGGTGGATGGCTTGCTTCCATATGAGTTTCCATAAGAGCTTCCATAGGTAGAAACCTTGCTTCCATATGAGTTTCCATAAGAGCTTCCATAGGTGAATGGCTTGCTTCCATAGGAGTTTCCATAGGAGTTTCCATAAGAGCTTCCATCGGTAGATGGCTTGCTTCCATAGGAGTTTCCAAAAGAGCTTCCATATGAGTTTCCATAGGTGGAGGGAGAGTTTCCATAACCCGGGGTAGAATAGGTAGATCTTTTCTTTTTATAGCTTGTCTTATGGTTGCTGAAATAAAAATTGTTATTATCATTTAACAAGTTATAATATAATATTAGACTCACCTAGGAGATCCATATCCACTATAACCATAGTCATGTAGAGGAAATCCATATTCATCACAATCATAGCCATATCCACCATATCCATGGTCAATACCTCCATATCCATGTCCACCATATCCATGGTCAATACCTCCATATCCATCTCAACCATATCCATGGTCAATACCTCCATATCCATATCCACCATATCCATGGTCAATACCTCCATATCCAAATCCACCATAATCGTAACCATGGTTGTCATCTAGACCATAATATCCAGTATCGTATCCATAGCAGTTCACCTAAAATATCTAAATGGCCAAATTGCCAAGTCGTTGTAAAGCACTGTTAATAACGATATTCAAAAAGTTCGTTCACGAACTATTTTAAGATTGTTTGTTGACATATTTCATAATATCCATTATCATATCTATTCATTATCAAATCCATAGCAGTTCACCTGAAATATCAAAAAATTAAAAACTCAGTCAGTAATTCAGGAGTTCTTAATTCTATTAGTAAAAGTCTTCAATTGCAGTTCTCTAAGAATGCGAATTATGGATTTATGCAGCAGAGACACAAAAATTTTATTTCTGTTCTGACATGGGAAAATGGTGAAATCTTCTTTATTGCTTAAAATCCTACAGGTCGACAATGGCATTGTTAAGCATTGTTTTTGTGAACAAACTAAATTTTGTGAATGATATGGTGCCGTTTAGAAAAAAACGAAAGCAGAGAAAAGAACGGCTTGGATCGTTCAAGAGAAATAAAAAATGATAGTTTTTAAATACGAACGAAAAAAAACAACAAAAATGAACGATTTAAATTGATCAAAGGATCTTGATTGTTCATGAACGATTTTAAATCGTTCGTTTGAGCAACTAACTGTAGTTATTTTCCGGAACAAACATATATTCCGAAAGATTTAGAAAAACTATAATTTTTTTATTGAGCGAACAATTTTTTTCGAACAACCTTTTAAAAAATAATCGTTTTATTACTGAAAACGATTTTATTAAATGAACGATTTAACTGAACAAACAATTTTACTGAACAATTGTTCAGTGAGAAAACTAAAGAAATGGATGGAAAAAGAACAATTATTTTGAGAACAAATAAATGAAAAATATTTTGGAACAATTGAAAAAACAACAAACGAAATGGGTTGTTCACAAACGATGAATGAACAAAATGAAAAAAAGCTGAACGCGCCCATCTCTAGCTACAGGTGTGTTTTCGGCATTTAATTCTACAAAAGAATATTAACTTAAATAAAATCCAATTTTTTTTTAGTTTTCAAATCGGTCCAATTTTGTTGTATTATATCCATATTATCTTCAAGAAGGTTCTTGGCTGTCAAAATTTAAAAAAATTTGGATCTTTTCTGAACTCTTCCCAAAAAACGAAAAATTCCCCCAAAAATATAATTTTTTTACTGTGTGTGTATGCAGAAACAAAGATACAGTTAAAGGTCATATATCTTAATGTTTAAATCGGTCATCTTGAAACCTATTCTATACAACAACAGAGCTAAGATTAAAAATGAAAATACCTGATAAAGGAATGAGAAGAATAGAAAACCTACGAACAAACTGAACATGATGGTTGTCGATGATTGATTATTATCTTACTAAGTTTAGATCAGTATTTATACCTCACCAAAGTGTACTGCATTGTTTACAAAATACTTTTCTGAGAAACTGAAATATATTATACACAGTAGACATTAGGTTGCAGTACACCAAAATGACAGTTTATAAAGCAAGACATTTACACTTAGTGAGTTTTAAACAGGTTTAAAATGATAAAATCATTAGAAAACACCATTTTTCAAAAAAAAATGTCACCGAATATGCTATGCATTATATTTAAAGCATATTTAAAAACTAAACTAAGGGCGACATTTTATTTTAAAAATGAATAATTATAGTGTTTTAAAACACATTTTGAGAAGATTATCGTTAGCACTATAACGTAAACATATTGATAAAGCAAATTATAAAAAAGCACTTTTAACAAATGTTGCTTTTAACAACCAGGAAATATGATAGATTCCATGACATGATGGATTCCATGACTTCTTTCAAAATTTAAACTAATCGACAGGACTATAATAAGTACAGATTTTTTGCCGGAAGACAAAAGAGTTGTGGGTCGGACGCTTTAATAAAATAAGATAAAACAAAGAACCTGTCAAATCTTTCGTTGGGATGTTTAGAAAGATGAAAATTTCCCTGTATGATAATTGAAGGACTGCAGTATGGTTTTGGTGAATTATATTGGCGTACAAAGCCTAGGCGTGTCAGAAATGATTTTTTTTGCATTTTTTTGAAACGTCCAATAAACCTAAATTTTGATAAAACTTTTTGTTCTGGATGATTACAAATATCTATCTAAAACTTTCTTAAACCGGCATATTTTTTTTATATTCATTTAGTTAAGAGTTTGAGTTAAAACAGGTTCTTTAAATGTTTGTTGGAAAAATGCTAAAAAACATTTGTTTTATTTTTGACAAATATTAACATTACCATATCCATTTTCAAGGGTAAATGCTGTAGCAGGGAGGGGGGGGGGTATATTAACATGGCAGGATAAAAGAAATGGTAGTGGGAGGGCTTTTAATGATAAAAAAAATCACGATACAAATTTTGAGATTCAAGACTTGGAGTCTCATACACATAATTTCTGTGTATGCCCCTTTATGTGCGTAAAAAATATATGTGGGAGTTTTTAAACCTATTTACAAGAGTTTGTATTAATCCATGCCTCCTACGGTATTGTTCTAAATTAATAAAAATGCCGCGCTCATTTGTCAGGCTACCTGCAATAGTAGGGATAAGCACGTTTTTGACGTTTAACAAGGCTGGGGAACTTCATCTGAATCGTTCATTTCACGTTTATACTTAGCATTATTGTCATTTTTTCATATTTTTCCTGAATTTAGTTTTTCATAATAAAAGGGAGTGTTCGCGAAAAATGAAAGGGGGTATAGACTTACGGCGAAAAATAAGCGCTTTTGATCGCTACAAATCTTACTTCTATCTGTTGTGTCTATCAGCAGAAAATTGTTAAAAACGACTCATACCGAAGAAAGTAGCGTCCATTCAAATTCAGAAAGTTGCAACATTCAACTCGCTTCGTAAAATAATCACTTTAATTCCAAACAAATCATTCAGCTATTACAACCAATAGTCATCGTATATAATTGATCTTTCATAATTGTAATTTTATCGTTCACTATACAACATCTTTCATATGGCTAATAGGGGTTGAAATGGCTGTATTTTTTATTTTAGTTTACCCACTATTTTAAAAGGGGGTTGGCCGATTCACAAAGGTACCATTTAACTCTTCTGATTAAAGATGTCGAAGATATCCTCGTTTTTTTAATTTGAAAAGGTGTAAATTCTAAAAACTATAAAACTCAATTGTAAAAATAATTTTATTGCACAATTGTCACTTTTATAGAGAAACCCCAAATTAAAAAACATGAGGCCGAATTTAAAGAATTTGAGCCGTGGTTTAAATTTAAGCTGTGGCTCAAATTTTGGTGGTTCCACTTAAATTTGTATTAATTTTTTTCAAGATTTAAGCCGGCGCTTAATTGAAACCGGTTTTTGGGGATTTGAGACGTGGCTCAAATTCATTAAATTCGGACAATGGTTGGCTTACTTGTGATCAGACAAAGGGTATCCTTGTGAATCAGAAATGCCATTCTATGAATGGGGGGGGGGGTCACTTGAACTTACTTACTTTGAGATGTTTACCAGTAAATGCTCGTTAATTTATCTTGGGAATATGTTGTATTAACTTGTAAATCCTTAAACGAAAAATCCTGTTCGTTTAAGTTAAAAAAAAATGTTGTTCTGCGTGAACGACGCCCATCCCTAGATATGTCCAGGGCGCTACGCTATTCCCTGGGCGCTGCGCTTTACCGTCGTTTTATTGTAAGAGACACTTTGATTTATCATGATATTGGGATAAGTCGACATTTGTATAGGGAGGATAGGGTACAGTGGTAACAAAAAAATGTGGAGTTCTCTTCAGAGAAAATAAATAATGTTTTTCAAAGAGCCATTTNGGGGTGGATCAGACATCCCATTCCCATGAAGGTTTATTCTCACAGAATTGAAACTAATTCCCAACAAATAAATAGTGTTTATGATAAATGTGGTTTTAGTTCGACCATTAACAAAACCTCGAATTCATTATCTCTAACACAGAATACAATCAACATCTTGTAGAAATAATATACAGCCAAAGGGCCACATGGAAAATTTAAAGTTTAAACTATCTTGTTATTTCATGTTTTATGCAAAAAATCATGTTTCGAATTTAATTTTTTAAGTCTTTTGTTTAAATTCCATTTCAGAGCTATAAATAGTAACTCTGAGAGTCACTAATAAATGCACGAGCTGCAAAATAATCTGAAATCAAAGAAAAATATAATGGTTATTTTTTTTAAATTGTTATAAATTTTCCTTTTTTAAAGGTAAATCTGAGCATTTAATACACGCTTAAAGGAACTGTAAAGGAAAAATGAAAGGGGGTATAGGCTGAAAGCTAATCACTTTAGCTCTTGATCGCGACCCATGAAAATTTTATCTGATGTTACTATCTCGAGAAATTGATATAAAACTGTGTTTGTTAAAATCATACGAAAGTTCATATATGTAAAATTTAGAAAATCTTAAACTTAAATCACATGACCAGAACTATCACCAATGACAAAGCACTATACTGTTCACGTGTCTCTGCATGTATCACGTGACCACTTTATTGCACTGTCATTGGGGGATTTTATGGTCAAGCAATTCGGACGTGTAAATAATATTATGAATTAAATCTATTAAAAATAGAAATAACAAATATAAAATTAGAATTGGAGTAAACCTAAGTAATAATTAGCTTTCTCGGGGATATTATCGTTTTCAGATTGGTTGCTTATTTGCTGAATTTGATCTATTTAAACCCACTACTTTTATACAAAATTGTATACATATTAATTTTTGTATAAATTTGACACAGTTGTAAATCAATTTCTCGAGATAGGAACATCAGATAAAACTTTCATTGGTCGCGATCGAGAGCTAAAGTGATTAGCTTTCAGTCTATACCCCCTTTCATTTTTCCTTTACTGTCCCTTTAATGGTTACAAATATTATAAATTTGAGGTATTTGTTCGTTCTATTAAACATATACAGGGTTCCCACAAAAATTGATAGTTTAATGACGACCTGTATGTTTAAATCTTTAAAGGGATTGCTGACGTAATTTTAAGTAGCCTTTAATTTAAAAAGTTGGATGGCGTTTTCTCAGCAAAAGTAAGGACCGGGAACTTTATAAGAAACTGGAACGATATCTTCTTGATTCTTAAGGTTCAAACGGTATCGTTGTAAATCGGGATATCCCCTATTTAGCCTTCTCAAACACTATAGTTTCAATAGAAGTAAATATTTCCATTTACTGATAGCGCCGATTGAAGGATTCATAACTATGATTGGATAATGAGATAGATAGAAAGATAAATGTTACCGCCATACTATTTCTATTGGTTCAGAATAGACAACAAACACATGGCTGAACCCTGATTGGATCAGGCGCTAATGGACTCGGCATACAGGAGTGCAAAGCGTTTGTTTACCTTTGAAGTGTAAACTAAAATTGCAAAGTGGTGAAGTGTAAAAGTCGTCTTTAAAGTCTTATTCTTTATGGTTGACCCTGTTTGTAATTCAATAATTTTTCGATTTCTGTGCTTACAATAATTTGACAACTTTTAATTTCTTTAAATTTATTTTGTTCATAAAATAAATCATACAATTTAATGTTTTTATAACTGTACAATGATAAACAATAAACAGAAGAATGATTTTAATCTTTCCTTTATTTATTGCTGAGCATTTATAAATTTCTACAGCTCAAAAAAGCTTGAATATAAACATTTTTGCAGAGATATTAACTTTATTACAACTTCAATGTTCATTATTGGCGGGATTTCTGAATAAAAAAGGAAAACACGACTAATTTTGCGTATTGTGACCTTATAAATCACCAGAGTGAGCAGCATTCGGTTTCTTCTATTTGAAATCTAACGTGTTTTGATCTATAATTCAACAATTATTTACTTTACGGATTTGTTTATTCTATACTTTTTCATTCAAAATGCATATGCCGACGAAAAGTATAAAAGGAAAAAGGCTTACAAATTATGTTTGATGGGTCAAATTGTGATCGAAAGTCACAGCTTTCTGGAATATTGACAGAACCGTTAAATTCTAGCTGGTTAAAAGTCAGCCCGGTACCGGAGTTTAAAGTGCTTATTCGTTGTATGAAAAGTGCATCTGTAAGGTTTTTGGGTTGTTAATAGAGAAAGAATAATGTCAAGTGTATAACTATGTATATGTATTGATACAAATACATTCATTATGTAAATATTGTTTTTTACTAATTTCATAGTTACCAAATATTACATTCATTTGTTAAATAATAGACTAAATCTGGTTGGAAATAATCTATCAGTTTTTATAATTTGTATGGCATATTTTACATTTAATGGTTCTGTGATTAATGTAATGGGATTGGTTATTTCTAAGGTGCTATGCTTAAATGGATATAGTTCTATTGAATAATGGTACAGGCTCTGATATACAGTAAAAAGTGATTGGTTCTAAGGTTCTATGGGATAAAGGATTTGTTTCTAAGGTTCTGCGGTATTAAATTAAATGGTTCTAATTTTCTATGATACAAAGAAGATATGGTTCTAAGGTTCTTTGATCTATTGAAATATGGTATATAAAATAACATTCTAGGGTTCTATGATATATGATACTATGGCATAAAGATTATGGTTCTATGGTTCTATAATCTATGATTCTATGGCATACAAAATATGGTTCTAGGGTTCTATGATCTATGATACTATGGCATAAAGATTATGATTCTAGGTTTCTATAATCTATGATTCTATGGCATACAAAGTAAAGTTCTATGATCTATGATACTATGGTATAAAGAATATTGTTCTAAGGTTCCATGATCTATGATACTATGGCATAAAGTTTATGGTTCTAGGGTTCTATAATCTATGATTCTATGGCATACAAAATATAGTTCTATGATATATGATTCTATGGTATATAGAATATGGTTCTAAGGTTCTGTGATCTATTGAAATATGGTATAAAGAATATGGTTCTAAGGTTCTATGATCTATGATTCTGTGATATAAAAAAATATGGCTCTAGGATTCTATGATCTATGATTCTATGGTATACAGAATATGGTTCTAAGGTTCTATGATCTATGATTCTATGGTATGAAGAATATGGTTCTAAGGTTCTATGATCTATGATTTTATGGTATAAAGATTATGGTTCTAAGGTACTATGATCTATGATTCTATGACATACAAAATATGGTTCTATGGTTCTATGATCTATGGCATACAAAATATGGTTCTAAGGTTCTATGATCTATGATCCTATGGTAAACAAAATATGGTTCGATGATCTATGATTCTATTGCATACAAAATATGGTTATATGATCTATGATTCTATGGCATACAACATATGGTTCTATGATCTATGATTCTATGGTATAAAGAATATGGTTCTATGATCTATGATTTATGATTCTATGGTATACAGAATATGGTTCTAGGGTTCCATGATCTGTGATTCTATGGCATAAAGAATATGGTTCTAGGGTTCTATGATCTAGTATTCTATGGTATGAAAAATATTGTTCTATGGTTCTATGATCTATGATTCTATGGTATAAAGCCTATGGTTCTAAGGTTCTATGATCTATGATTTTATGGTATAAAGATTATGGTTCTAAGGTACTATGATCTATGATTCTATGACATACAAAATATGGTTCTATGGTTCTATGATCTATGTCAATTTTTGTATGGTTCCNACAGCATATGGTTCTAGGGTTCCATGATCTGTGATTCTATGGCATAAAGAATATGGTTCTAGGGTTCTATGATCTAGTATTCTATGGTATAAAAAATATTGTTCTATGGTTCTATGATCTATGGTTCTATGGTATAAAGCCTATGGTTCTAAGGTTCTATGTTTTTCTATTATTTCTATGATAGATCCAATAGTCCAGATTATAGATGCTCTCCCAATGAACTAAAATATACAAAATTAGAATTAAAAATTATAAAAATCACAAAAGTACAAAATTAGGGGGGACATGTATTAAAATGAAGTGTAAGTGTATGTATCAATGAAAATGTCGCAAAGAAAGCTAGCCATAAGTTAAAATTCTTTTTAAAAAGCATCAAAAAGTAGATGCTAAGGTGATGAACAAATTAAATCGATAAAAAAATGATCACCATAATTATACCTTTGACATTTCTAGGTTTAAAAGGAGCACCGGGGATATCTATACCTGGGACATGTCTAGGTTTAGGAGGAGTATCAGGGATATCTATACCTGGGACATGTCTAGGTTTAGGAGGAGTGTCAGGGATATCTATACCTGGGACATGTCTAGGTTTAGAAGGAGAACCAGGGATATCTATACCTGGGACATGTCTAGGTTTAGGAGGAGTATCAGGGATATCTATACCTGGGACATGTCTAGGTTTAGAAGGAGAACCAGGGATATCTATCTATACCTGGGACATGTCTAGGTTTAGAAGGAGCACCAGGGATATCTATACCTGGGATATTTCTAGGTTTAGAAGGAGCACCAGGGATATCTATACCTGGAACTAGGTTCACCAGGGATATCTATACCTGGGATATTTCTAGGTTTAGAAGGAGCACCAGGGATATCTATACCTGGAACTAGGTTCAGAAGGAGCACCAGGGATATCTATACCTGAAACTAGGTTTAGAAGGAGCCCAGGGATATCTATACCTGAAACTAGGTTTAGAAGGAGCACAAGGTATATTTATACCAGGGACTAGGTTTAGAAGGAGCACCAGGGATATCCATTCCTTGGACATTTCTAGGTTTAAAAGGAGCACAAGGGATATCTATTCCTTCGACATTTCTAGGTTTAAAAGGAGCACCAAGGATATCTATACCTTGGACATTTCTAGGTTTAGAAGGAGCACCGGGGATATCTATACCTGGGACATGTCTAGGTTTAAAATGAGCACCGGGGATATCTATACCTGGGACATGTCTAGGTTTAGAAGGAGAACCATATACCTGGGACATGTCTAGGTTTAGAAGGAGCACCAGGGATATCTATACCTGGGACATGTCTAGGTTTAGAAGGAGAACCAGGGATATCTATACCTGGGACATGTCTAGGTTTAGAAAGAGCACCAGGGATATCTATACCTGGGACATGTCTAGGTTTAAAAGGAGCACCAAGGATATCTATACCTTGGACATTTCTAGGTTTAGAAGGAGCACCAGGGATATCTATACCTGGTACATGTCTAGGTTTAGGAGGAGTATCAGGGATATCCATACCTGGGACATGTCTAGAATTAGAAGGAGTATCAGGGATATCTATACCTGGGACATGTCTAGGTTTAGAAGGAGCACCAGGGATATCTATACCTGGGACATGTCTAGGTTTAGAAGGAGAACCAAGGATATCTATACCTGGGACATGTCTAGGTTTAGAAGGAGAACCAGGGATATCTATACCTGGGACATGTCTAGGTTTAGAAGGAGAACCAGGGATATCTATACCTGGGACATGTCTAGGTTTAGAAGGAGAACCAGGGATATCTATACCTGGGACATGTCTAGGTTTAGGAGGAGTATCAGGGATATCTATACCTGGGACATGTCTAGGTTTAGGAGGAGTATCAGGGATATCTATACCTGGGACATGTCTAGGTTTAGAAGGAGAACCAGGGATATCTATACCTGGGACATGTCTAGGTTTAGGAGGAGTATCAGGGATATCTATACCTGGGACATGTCTAGGTTTAGGAGGAGTATCAGGGATATCTATACCTGGGGCATGTCTAGGTTTAGGAGGAGTATCAGGGATATCTATACCTGGGACATGTCTAGGTTTAGAAGGAGAACCAGGGATATCTATACCTGGGACATGTCTAGGTTTAGAAGGAGCACCAGGGATATCTATATTCCAATCCATCATCCATTGTCCAGTAGGTTTAGAAGGTTTACTATAATCCCATTTAGGTTTTTCACTCAGCAAAATCTTCAATTAAAATGAGTTTTAATGAAAAGTAAATTGAAAATTGAAAACATTATTCTAATAAAATTATACTAAATTATGAAACACTATATTTGTATAAAAACACATAATCGCAGGTATCTATAACCCCCCTATATACTATTAAATCCTCTTTTTCATCATTTTTTGAAAAGTTAAAAGGCAAAAAATATTATTTTTTTCGATTCTTTGCCTCTTAACGTATTTCAAGAATACTGTATAAAAAAAGCTCAGCCCATAAATATGAGAATTTTCACATTGTATACAAAAAAGGTTTACCTTGATGCCAACAATTGTTAAAGAAAGACATATCATGACAATAACTGCTAGAAGTGTGTAGTAATTGTTCCATCTAAAATTTCATTAAATCATAATAAAAAACTAATATGAAAATTTTAACTGTTTTGTACTTTAATTCTTTGTTCAATGTTTAGAAAAATATCGTTTCCTTTTGAATCTATCCTGATTGGGCTATTTTTGTCTAATATAGATTGGGAGTTGGATGTTTCCCCCCCTCCCCTCCCTTTGATTCTGCCCTGAAAACGGGGTGTGTGATACGTAACATGTCCCTAGTTGCTCATTAAAAGAAAATTTATACCTCTAACTTTAATGGTATGGATGTAAGGGAGGTTTTAAAACAATACCTTTCCATAATCTTCCTTTCCTTTCTAATTTTAAATCGAGCAATGTTTTCTCGCTTCAATATTCGTCTAAAACAAATGAGGAATCAGAAGGAGCTTCAGGAAGGAGTTGGAAGGAGTTGAAAGGATCTGGAAGGAGTTGGAGTGAGTTAGAAGGAGTTGGAGAAAGATGGTATGAGTTTGAATAAGTTGGAAGGAGTTAGAAGGAGTCGAAAGGAGTTGGAAGGAGTTGGAAGGAGTTGGAAGGAGTTGGAAGGAGTTGGAAGGAGTTGGAAGGAGTTGGAAGGAGTTGGAAGGATCTGGAAGGAGTTGGAGTGAGTTAGAATGAGTTGGAGAAAGATGGCATAAGTTTGAATTAGTTGGAAGGAGTTAGAAGGAGTTGGAAGGAGTCGAAAGGAGTTAGAAGGAGTTGGAAGGAGTTGGAAGTAGATTTAAGGAGTTGGAAGGAGTTGTAAGGCGTTGGAAGGAGTTGGAAGGAGTTGGAAGGAGTTGGAATGAGTTGGAAGAAGATGGAAGAAGTTAAAAGGCGCTGGAAGAAGTGGAAGGAGTTGAAGGAGTTGAATTACAATAATAAAGAAAGGAGTAATTTGAGAAGGATCTAATTTTCCAAAATTAAATAAAATAACTATTTGTTGTCACCTGATTGCATCGTCCATAGAGGCCTGAGATTCAACAGACATTTGCTTATTTCTCCAGTTTTTAGACATTTTCTAAGTTTAGTTTTTTTAATGAAAAATGTTCAGAAAGAGAACATTTTATACAGCATTTAACTCAAATATCATGAGAAGTGCAACGTTTAGAAAAAAATAATTGCGAAATCCAGGTTTTTTTCAAGAATAAGATATTTTTTACTACAGTCGTCGTCCAATATATCAATACAAAAAAGACGAATTTAGATTTCAAACTTGTCATTGTAAAACATTTTTTTAAGTACCTTGTTATTTATGTTTGAAGTTTCCTCTGGCATCTGTATTAGGACTGATTCCTCTATTGACGAATTATTTTTATCTTCTATAATCTGATGTTTAGGAGAATCATATCCTATAAAAAAACTATACATTTGAATTCATTTGAGTAAATTACTGTGTGTTTACTAAACTTTATAGCTTAGATACGGCTTAGAAGAGAGAAATGATTTGTTTTGCTTTTTAATGGCAACGTATTCCCAATTAAAAGCTTTAAATATATTATCCTCCTGTCGTATCTTCAAACTGCAAAAAATCATTTAATGTATATTTTATTATTTTTATTATGATTTATTTGTTGAACACATAAAATTGGTTCAGATATTAGGCTAGAACTATAATTCAATTTATACATAGGTTTTCAACTAACGACTTTAAATCTTCTCTAATGTCGTCTTCTTCACAGTCTCGAAGCTGTAACAGGAGATGCTGCAGACATTCGATATTGTCTTCTTCTTGAATGGTGAGCGGCCCACAGTCTTCAAAGATGGCTCTTGGTAGGTTGTTTAATATATCTAGAGAGAATTCGTCAGAGATACTTGAAATGTTTCTTCCAAAGTCGTACTGTAGAGAATATGCAGATATCGATCCAACTTGCCAAATCAATGGATTCCAACTATGCAAAATAAACTGTGCAAACTTGGCAAATCGTCTCAGTAAAAGAATTCTCACAGAGTTGAATTCTTTAGAAAAATTTTTCCACAAAATAAGTATGTGTAGGCTGTGGCAAGTTCCAACAAACTTTAACTGTAGTGTTCCAAGATCGGTAGGTTTGACAGGCATATTCACTGTAAAGGTTCCAAATATTGCTTCCACAAAAGGAACAACAATAAGTTAGCACAGCAGATAACTTTTGCAGTGGTGAGCAGAAATGAAAAATTCCCAATAATTCAGTAGATGATCCAATGTAGGCACCTCTAGCCTTTTTTGCAGGCTACAACACCAAGGAAGAGATCCCCAATATAGCAGCCAAACCCACTTTCTCTAAGCTTTACAAGCAACCCATCCATGTACACTGTAAATAAGATAGGGGATAGACAGGATCCCTGTCGTGTACCATTTAGTATACCAAAGGAGTAGGAAGCTGTTTGTGTAACTGACCATTTAACACATGCTTTTTGAAGCTCATAAGCAGCTAATAAACCTCGAACAAAGATGGCTGGAACACCTCTGGCAAGGATTTTGCCAAATAGTTTAGAAAATAAACACTTATCAAAAGCTTTGCTACAGTCCAGCGCAGCAACATTGACAGATGTATGTTTCTGCTTGAAGAAAGAAATTGTCTGCAGAGCCAGTCAGGTACACTGAGTGGTGGAAGTTTTAGATTTATATCCAAACTGAAGATTATCTGAGTAAAGTTTGTCACCAAAAAGTGTCATAATCACAAGTTCCATGACTTTGAAGATCAGGGAGGACATAGCAATGGCACGATAATTTTCAGAGCTTGTATCATCCTTCAGGGGTTCTTTTAGCAAGGGAATAAAAGCACATGCCAATATTTCTTCAGGAAAGTCTGCATGTGTAAAAAATGCTTTAAACAGGTCGGCTAGCCGTTCGAAAAGGATATCAGGAGCATAAATCAGTGAATCAGATTTAAATAACCGATAACTTTTAAAATAAGAAAGAACAGCCAACATTGATAGAATTAGTTTTATTCTATAATTTTATAAGAACCATAAAACTTCTAAATTAATTAGATAAATTCCACATATGATTGAAATCTGAAAGGTTTTCAATCATTGCTCCTTTTATCGATAGTTATTGAGAAGAAATGTTTTAAATTTCTGAAAGAAACCAAATAAATTTTCTTTTCTAATACTTGTGCACAGAATCAAAGATAGAGGAGGTACGAGGTCACAAATGCATACCAGTAATTCCGCATAAATTTTAAATTCTCCTTCTGTTTATAGTTCGCAGTGATAAGTGTGAAAGAATGAATGAATAGATGCCACAAAAAAACTCGAAATATGATATTTCAAGAAAATATCATATTTCAAGAAAATATCATATTTCAAGAAAATATCATATTTCAAGAAAATATCATATTTCAAGAAAATATCATATTTCAAGAAAATATCATATTTCAAGAAAATATCATATTTCAAGAAAACATAATATTTCAAGAAAATATCATATTTCAAGAAAATATCTTATTTCAAGAAAATATCATACGGTTTGATTTCTAGAAAGTTTTTTCAAATTACAAGTTTACGAAGCAAATGTGTTTCAATGCTATTTGAAAGCTTGGTATGAAATCAAAGTCGTCTTTGTTGTAATGATTTATACGACGACGACTGCACCTGAATATAGAGAATCAAAATATTTATTCATAGGATTTTCTCCAGGGTCGTCTTCGATTGATGTATCACGAGTAACAGCTGCTGTACCATAATCTGCGAAATATAAAAGGAATGCAGAATTCTAGCCAACTAAATAATCTTTTCAGGAACATAAAGTAGCGTCTTCAAATGTTTTCGGAGCTATTCAGTTCCAAAAAAACTGCAGAGTTACCAAAAAAGAAGAAAAGACTATGAAGACGACCTGAATCTTTTAGAATATGACGATTTTAATGTTAAATTAAGACTTTTGGCTTGAATTTAGTCTTTTATGGAAATATTTCATGATTTTACAAAAAAAAACACAATTTAAGGTTGCAGGGAATCATAAACATTAAGAAACAGGCAGCATAAATTCTGTATTGTCTTCTCTTAAGTCTTTTCCTTTGTGTGTAACTTTGTACACAGAATACAATTGTTGAAATGTAAATTGAAGAAGATATTTTTAAGAAGATTTTATCTCTGAATAATTACTGGAGTCCTGTACCTGGCTCCTCGTCCTCCGATTGCTCTGATGCGTCAAGGAAGAGTTGGCCTCGAGGTCGAGGTTTCATCTCCAGATGATCTTTACACAGCAGACATTTATCTTCCTCCTATAGAATACAACTAACTGAAGTGCCTGGGGTTGCTCGTGGAATAAAAAAATTGAATTAAAAAAAAAATCTGATTTTGAAAGAAAGAAAATTTCGATTTTGATAATAAAATTTTCGATTTTATAGCCTGTGTTACCCCCAGCCCAAGCCCAGAGTACCCACTACCCATGAATTTCCTCAACATTTCTGCCAATTTGGTCCAGCATTATGGCCAGCTATAGCTAACATATATATTTTTAAACTTTAATATCTTTTTTTAATTAAGTTTTACAATATTTTTGAAGATATTTTTATAGATACTAGAAATTCAAGGCGCTTCGCGCCCTTCTTTCTAGCCTTAGAGGGAATTTCTTCCAAGCCCTCATCTCTAATATTAAGAGATTCCCTTCCAATATTTCCTGTTCAATTTGCTTTTTCCTTCTTACTTCTTGTTTCTTGTTTCTACACTTTAAGGCTCTCCAATTGAGTTGTGGAGCAGGTAGGAGAGAGATAAGGAAGTTTGTAGGAGGAAGAATATAAGGGATTGCTCCCTGTTTCCCTTCATGTTATAGTCTTTCCAACTTGAAGGGAATTTTAAGGAATCCCATAACTGCACCCATTATGCAAAATGGAGAGTTGAAAGCATTAAAGCCCCAACGAGAGGAATCTTGCACAGCATGGTCAAGTCCTCACAGCTGGTCAAGTAAAAAACCGGTATCGTTGTGCATGGCTTGAATACCCATCAGGGGTTAAAGTACTTCTTTCAGCTGCACCAGGCTGAAGATGGAGTCTTGTTTTATTCTATATTACATTCAACAGGCTCCCCTGTAGAATAAGACATGTGTGCAACTAAACAATGGAAAATGTTCTAGACCTGTTTTAAGAAGATGAGCGAAGAGCTTTGTTATATAGATTTATAAACAAAACAATTCACTATGTTAAACATAGGACCCAAAAATCTGACTTAATTAAAAGTGACTGTAGGATAATTTCAATTTAACCCTCATCTGGTTTCTTTTTAAAATTGACTTGCAGAGACTAGGGAGTAAATTGTCAGAATTCTACATGTTACGCGCGATAACTTTGTTATGTTATACTGAGATAGTTGAATAAAAAGTACCATTGTGAATCGGACATGTCACTTTTTCACGCCTACAAGCTAATAGTGCAGGTGCAGTGAGGGAGTTTGTTCCTTACATTTTTTTTGCAAACTATGGATTTAGTTATTTCAGCTTCAAAGTTGAAATTAGCAAATTCAAATAAAAAAATCAATTTTATTAATAAAAAGTTGTCATTAAATCATGTACACACAGTATTTAGCAAGGGGAAAACCCTTAATGACTTAATTTACGGAGAAAACCTGCAATGGCTAATGTTCATTTTTTCATTTTTCCAAAATCATCTAAAACCACTCCGTTCCCCGAACCCCTGAACGATTTTTGGGTTCACTATAAAACAGTTTTTAGCTATATATACTTTGCTTTTCTGTCTGGGTGTTTGGCTGTTTTTATCCAATAAACATCAAAACGGCTGAACCGATCGAGCCCAATTTTTTTGTGGAACCTCGCGTGACCCCAAGGAAGGTTCATGAATAATCGAATTTTCAAAAATTTGTCTCTAACAAAATTTTGTTATTGAAAATTGTGAAAATTTACGAAATTCATTTTATAATATCCGCAAAATTTTGTTTGTTTTTGTTTCTTCAATGTAAATAAAGAGAATATGTTCACAATTGTAATAGAAGATGGACGCGAAGCGCCTTAAACGCCTAGTTACTAGTATTGATAAATGTTTTGAAATTAAGTAGAAATGAATATGCTTTGGTTTGATTTGTCTAAGCGTAAAGGACACATGACAGGAATTTGTTGGAACTTTGCCTCTTTTCCGAGTGGAGGGGGCCGGGGGGGAGTTCCAAAGCTAAACCCTTATTAGGCTACAGTGATTCAAAGGTTGCAAGCTCTTACGGAAAAATCTAAAAGAACTACGTATTTTAAACAAATACTTTAAGGTCCTAAATGTACACATCAATAGTTTTACAAAAATGTGTAATTGTGTCAGTAAGATAAACCCAAAAGGCACCAGGCGTTGCGACACTTCAAAGTCGATCTCTGTCTTGCCCTCTTTAAGGCATATTTTATTACCTGGTCCAATATGCGTTTTATATCCGTGAAATTTTCAAAACTTTTAGATTTTCTTCGATATTCTGAGGCGACAACTCTTCTGTATCCTGCAGCCATTTTGTATTTTTATTTCTGTTTCTAGATAGGATTGTTTTGTGAGGAAACATGGAGTACTGGACGCTCAGCTTTCATTTTAATATTGCTAGGCAAGTTTACAATTAATTATTTATTAGGTCTATACTCATACTTTCTACCATTTGTAGAATCAAAACTAAACCATTTTCTTCAGAAATGATGATCAGAATTTCCGAGATATCTCAATAATTTTAATATCGCTAACCTTTTGTTAGTTATTTCGAAAAAAAAGTTCGTGATTCAATGGGACTGTATAAGCTAAATTTCACGTGACTTATCATACAAAGATGGCAGTTCCCTATTTGCAACGGTACCACCTTTAAAAGCTTTGTCTGATCAAGTATGAATTAGAACTATACATGCTTTTGTTTTGAATCTGTTTATTTTGATTGCGGTTTCTCTGCAAAAGTGACTTGCGCATTTCTTGCTTATAAGAATATAGATAGACCGGAGAAGTTGTAGTGAATGCCACTTTTTGATTTAGAAAAACGACAATATCTTCCACATTTTTGATGTTTTAAGGGTACAGCTGTAATTCGGGCGTTGCCATCTTTGCATTGAGGGTCACTTGAAATTACCATTACAGTCCCTTTAAACCGCTTCTGGAAAGTTCAATATCATAAACAAAATGTTAAGATTTCTTTAAACAGTTTTAAAACTGATGTTTTAGAAATATTTAATGTAGCTGTTGCAACTAATCATAAAATTACAATATTTCAATTTAAATATTGTAATTTTTCTACAGGGGTCTAGGTATACTTCAATACAATGAAGACGACTTTTCTATGTGAGTTTTAACTTTTAACAAGCCTTTTTCAAATTACAAGTTTACAAGCAAATGTTTATATGTCTCCATGCTGTTTGAAAGTTTGGTACAGTTAAACCCTAAATAAGCCAAACATTGAAAGAATTCATCGTATTCTTCACTTTCTGATAATGGAATGTTACAGATATTTAGTTTTTTAATTAAATGGCTATATGGAGACCTTTAAAACTGTTCCCGCATATTCATGGCTATTTGTTTATTTTCGCAAATACTGAGATTTACGTAAAATAGAAAATTCTTTCTAGGGTTTAACTGTATGAAAAAATTGTCTTAATTGAATTAATGTATACGACAACGACTGTATCTGGAATGTCTTGAATCAACGTTGTTTTCATTTTTTATTCTTCTTTTTTTTCGTGAAGTAAATTCTGAACACTTCTTAATTTGAAGATAAATGCTTGATCCCCCAGTCAAAGTAATCCCTACAGTGCCTTACAATGATCAGGATATCGAAGAGGATGTAAATTAACATAACATAAATATCAGAATCCATGATTCTGAGATTCTCAACATTTCATTTTCGCGGACTCCATTTTAGCAAAACTNGATGATGATGATGATAATGATGATAATGATGATAATGATGATAATGATGATAATGATGATAATGATGATAATGATGATGATGATGATGATGATGATGATGATGACAATGATGATTATGATGATACTGATGATCATGATGATCATGATGATCATGATGATCATGATGATCATCATGATCATCATGATCATGATGATCATGATCATGATGATAATGATGAATCCAAATAAAAAAAATATTAATGATAATTACAAAAAAAATTACAAAATAATGAAGATAAAAACCTGAAACATCCTTTTCTAACTAAGCAAAAGATTACAAAACCTAATGCTAGCAGTCCACCAAGCACCGAAACAATTATCTAAAAAAAAGAGTTTTTAATTTTAATATTAGGGTTGCTATGATATAAAGATTTAAAAATGGGGTTATATAATATTAAAAAAGCCTATCTAAGCTCTCCTTTTGCAGTTATTTCATAAATATTAAATTTTTTAAATCATGATTGGAGAAAAATATGCAGGGTGTTTCTAAATCTTGGCAATTTTGAAACTTCATATTTTGTGCTGGTTTCGTTTTGAAAAAAATTGAATGTTGAAAATACTGTTAACAAAATTCAAAAAATAATATACATAATTAGTTTTTTTTAAATTATTAAATAACGACGACATAAAATGTAAACAATATCTACAATAAACTACAGACATAATGTATAGGAACATATTGAGAAAATAAAAATTATTCTTATCATCGAAAATAAGTAACCTTGTTGAATTATTAGTTTCTATTTTCTCAGTATTCTGGTTTCCCATTATTCACAAAGATTTTCTGCAGATTTTCTAGAATTATTATTGAAAAGACGACATTTGAAGATTTTGAATAAATTCAAAGAAAATAAGAAATTTTTCTTGAGAAATATGTTCCTAACCATCTAATTAGATTACTGTATAATTTTCACTTTATTTTTCGTTGTCGTTATTTAATAATAAAAAAAACTAATTCTGAAAGCGTATCCACTCCCAAATCAGGAGTTTTGAACGTCGAATTTGCGCTCAAACTTAGAATTTACAGATCTTTAAAAATTTTAATAGTCGCAAATGAATCCGAAAGAAGTTTTCCACAACACTGCATACTCAGTTCAAC